GGCCCTATTACTGGGATGTCATACAAACCATTCATGATTGATGAGTAGCAAGTGCTCATGATTTCATCAGATTGTTCTAAAACATAAGGGGAAAATCTGCCTTCACAACATAATTACATCAAACAGTATCTGACTGCCATCATATTCCAGTGAAGCAAGTCCTATTATAGTGACATACTAGAATAACAACTACAGTGGTGCCTCGCATAGCAATCACTCCGTTTAGCAACAAAATCGCTTTGGGACACATTTTTTGCTATCACAAAAGTGATCGCTTTGCAATGTTCCCTATGGGGGAATTTCGCTTTGCAATGACCGATCATCGCAAAGCGACCATTTTCGGCCAGCGGATCGGTGGTTTCAAAATGGCCGCCAGGAAAAAAAACATGGTTGCCCGTTGTTTTCTGGGATGGAATCCTCGCTTAAGAGGCACCAGAAATGGCCCTGCTATGGAGGATCTTCGCTGAACTGTGAGTTTTAAGACCATAGGAATGCATTAATCACGTTTTAATGCGTTTCTATGGGCTTTTTTATTTCACATTGCGACGTTTTCGTTCAACAGCGATTTTTGCGGAATGAATTAATGTTGCAATGCGAGGCACCACTGTACCTCCAAAATATAAAGCAGAGGTGGGGCTTACCCAATGGTAAGTGATGATGGGAACTACAGTTCAACATCTAGAGGGCCATGTGTCCCCTCATCCCTGATATAAACACATTAACTTTTAATAATATATTAGACATGCTTACTAGTCTAAATCTATCGTAACCATTTTGTTTGTTAATCTGTTGGTTAGACTAATTAACTTCTGCTGCCCCCGATCAAAACTCAAGACAGGCGTAGTATGAAGGCAGCTAGGGAAGCCCATGCACAGCTGCAATGTTTTTACCTTCTGAACAGAAATACTGCTTTGCCATTTGAAGCCTGCTCAGTTTTGCAGTCATGGGGTTGCCATCTTCCACTGATTGGCTTGGCCTGCATATTATTGTGCATATTGAGCAGATAAAAGTTTTTTTAAAAAATTATTTATTAACTTTTAATAATATGTTAGACACACTTACTAGTCTAAATCTATTGTAACCATTTTGTTTGTTAATCTGTTGGTTAGACTGATTAACTTCTGCAGCCCCCGATCAAAACAAGACAGGCGTAGTATGAAGGCAGCTAGGGAAGCCCATGCACAGCTGCAATGTTTTTACCTTCTGAACAGAAATACTGCTTTGCCATTTGAAGCCTGCTCAGTTTTGCAGTCATGGGGTTGCCATCTTCCACTGATTGGCTTGGCCTGCATATTATTGTGCATATTGAGCAGATAAAAGTTTTTTTAAAAAATTATTTCTGTTCCACCTCTTTCCAAAAAATAGCAGACAGTGACCTGAACACAGAACTTTAAAAAAGGAATTACAACAATTATTATTTAACCCATGTATTAGCCATGCTTCAGTTCATAACATTGACCATAAAATAGAAAAAAACCACACACAATAAAATATATAATGCAATGAACATGAGCATAAAACGCCTGTGCAGATGAAAAGGTTTTCACCTAACAAAAAGAAAAGAATGTCTAGCAAAAGGCTCTGAGAAGGGTGTTTTCATAAAACCTTGATGCTTCCTGAAATTTAGGTGAGCTGGCCTGCACTCGGTAATACAGTAAAGCAGTAAACCTTTGGAGTAGCAACAATGGAGCATGGAGTTCCTGCTCCAGTTCTCTGAAGATGTCGGCCACAGAGACTGGCAAAACGTCAGGAAGAACAACCTTCAGAACACGGCCAAAGAGCCCGAAAAACCCACAACAACCAACGGTGGCCTTTGTCCCTCTCTCCAGCCAGTAATGAAACCAAAGGGCAACTTCTGTTGTAATCATATGGAATTTTATTCCTTTGTAAATATATTTACATTAAGCCAGTAACCCACACAGAATTATCCTTGCAGTAAATAGTTATAAGACTGTTTCATAAATGGAGTGGCAAAATAAGACTGCTGGAAGAAAGAATACAACGTTCAGGTTCTTTCTGAATATGTAAGAGGGTTTTATTGCCAGACAATCAGCCCGTTTGATCTAAGACGTGAGATGTTGGAACAGAGCACTTAAGCATGTGGAAAATCGTCTCCGTCAATGTAAGAATGATAAACAAATAAATAGCCCAGATGTTTTTGTTTCTTTTTACTAAATCTGCATGCAGATTGGAACTCTCATGATTTTTCCTTTTTTTCTTTCCCTTGTAAGGGCAGCGTCTGCTTCTTCCAGAGACATGGTTTCCAGAAGATCCTTCAGAATCAGAAACAGTTCTAGGTTTTTCCTGCTTATACTACCTTTAAATGGATTTCTTGAATAATAAACAGGAAATTTGTCTCCCCCCCGCCATTTCGAGTTCTCAGAATAGCTACTCCAGTATTCAGGAGCAAATCACTCTATCAATACAAGTACTGTACTGAACAATTTGAACACGTGGATCTATAGTAAGGACAAGGGATTCCTTCCTACAGTGTTTCACAGGTCATGGTCTTGACATTATTGTGTCTAGACATGGGGATGAATAAAAAAACAAATCACGATATTCATCAAAAATTGCTGATTCATTAAATATTCATCCATTCATTTTCGTCAGTTCCAGAGACCCCGACAAATATGACGAATACGAATATTGCTCCATTTTTATTTATCCCCCTATTCCAAGGGCCTTCCCATTCGGCCTATGGGACTGCTGATCAACTGTTTGGCAGGCCACTAGGCAACCAGGCAGCCCCATAGCCACCCACCCCCACAGACTATCTCCCATCCCCTTCCTCTCCATACTTTAATCGCTGCTACCATCCAGCGCCACCGTCATCCATCACTGCCTGCTGAGGTGGCCTCCGCAGCCACAGCCTGCAGTAAGGGACACTGGCTGCCCTTTGCAAAGATGGTGAGGCAGCTTCCTTTAGGGTGGGGAAGCTGCAGCGTCCATCTTTGCAAAGGACAGCCTAGATTCCATTAAGGCAGGCTAAGGGAAACCAGGCTGCCCTTTGCTATTCCAATGGCCTTCCCATTCTGCCTATGGGACTGCTGATCAACTGTTTGGCAGGCCACTAGGCAACCAGGCAGCCCCATAGCCACCCACCCCCACAGACTATCTCCCATCCCCTTCCTCTCCATACTTTAATCGCTGCTACCATCCAGCGCCACCGTCATCCATCACTGCCTGCTGAGGTGGCCTCCGCAGCCACAGCCTGCAGTAAGGGACACTGGCTGCCCTTTGCAAAGATGGTGAGGCAGCTTCCTTTAGGGTGGGGAAGCTGCAGCGTTCATCTTTGCAAAGGGCAGCCTGGATTCCCTTAACCCGCCTTAAGGGAATCCAGGCTGCCCTTTGCAAAGATCAACGCTGCAGCTTTCCTAGCCTAAATGAAACCACAGCCTCCATCTTTGCAAAGGGCAGCCAGTGTCCTTTACTGCAAGCCACAGCAGTGGAGGCCAGCTGGACACTGCGGCAGCACGGTGGTGGTGCTGCGGCAGTGGTGGCATGGCAGCAGTCACTGCCGCCTCTGGCTGTCTAAAAAACCCCGATGAACTAACGAATAAATTTGTGCTTGGGAGGAGTTTCATACTTCGTGCTTCTCTCCTCTTCCCTCAGATAGAGGAGCAACACATTCTCAACCAGAAATTGTAGTACCCAATTGAGTTCTGAGCTCAGAGTCTCACACTCTCCTGTCAATGACGTATCTACATAGCTCATTTCATTTACCCTTCCCCTTCTCCTCATGGTAAAGAAATGAGACATTAGCAGGGTCAAACTAGATATTGGCTGAAATCCTGTTGAGGAGACTGAACTAAAGACCCTTTGTGTGTAAAGTATGTGGTTTATGTCTCAAGCAGAAATAACACAGGTGAAGCAAAATTATAGAGATTTATTTAATGTGCATATTATATTTAGGCTGTAGATCTCAGGTTTTCTAGACATAAAATTGTGGTATGGTTATGTGAATAGTTTATACAGGAACAGGCTTAAGTGCACAGATCACAATTAAGTACATCCTTCATGGTTATCAGGACATATACAGTCCATTACATATAAATCTTAAGAGCTCACTCTCAGGAACATATGCATAGGATCATCACAGCCTAAGTGTGGTAACAATCACCAAAAATTTGTAAGATACATATTAATATAATTTTATTAATTTGTTGAATATCTGAATAATTCAATGGTTTTAGCTTTAATATTGTGTTTCAATGATGCAAGCCACCTTAGGAGAAAGGTGGGGTAATTTTTTTAAAAATAAAATAAATTACAGTGTTATCATTACAGTAGGATCCCATAACCATGGGATCAGTATTCAGTTTTATTCACCTGCAGTCTCACAATACAGTGGTGCCCCGCTTGACCACGATAATGTGTTCCAGCAAAGTCGCTGTACAGCGAAATCATTGTCAAGTGAAAAAAAACCATAGCAGAAAGGCGGGGTAATTTTTTTAAAAATAAAATAAATTACAGTGTTATCATTACAGTAGGATCCCATAACCATGGGATCAGTATTCAGTTTTATTCACCTGCAGTCTCACAATACAGTGGTGCCCCGCTTGACCACGATAATGTGTTCCAGCAAAGTCGCTGTACAGCGAAATCATTGTCAAGTGAAAAAAAACCATTGGAATGCATTGAAAACTGGTCAATGCATTCCAATGGGTGAAATACCTCATCGTCCAGCGAAGATCCTCCATAGGGTGGCCATTTTCGATCCCTGTCTTGCAAAGAATTGGTCCGGAAAACAGCAAGGAGCCATTTTGCGAACTGCCGATCAGCTGTTTTTAATCGTCGTCAAGCGAAAAAACAGTTCCCGAAGCAGGGACCAAATAATCGTTAAACAAAAATTGCACATTGGAACCATCAGCAAAAAACGGCATCGTAAAGCAATTTCATTGTCAAGCGGGGTCATTGTCAAGCGGGGCAACACTGTATTAAAGATGTTAAAAGAAAACCCCCAGAAATACATATTTCAAAATGTTAAAAGAAAACCCCCAGAAATACATATTTCCATGATGTAATGATCAGAACAAATTTAGTAAATATGATAAGGTGCTTAAACACACAGTACAAAGAATTAAGAAAAGAGTGGTCACTGTTTCCCCAAGTATTTCTTAATCAAATGTCCCACCAATTTCTGAGGTCTTGTCTGATACTCCTTCAGTATATCGTGAGGTGTGGTGATCTGATCCCCTTCAAGTCGGTTCAGAAGTGTTACGCATACCACAGCACCTTGAAAGAAAGAATCATAAAAGCCATTCCTCAAGTTAAATAATAATATAATTTATTGTCATTGTAAGTATATACACAGGTCAATGCATTAAAGTATCCTTATGAATACTGAGGGGGTTAAAAGGGTTTCATGTTTACACAGATAAGAGTGGTTAAAACTAGCAAGGGAAAATAACAGCAAGTTCACAAAGAGGATAAAACTATAGAAAGACATTTCGCATGAATGAACTGGCCCAAAGTTTATTTCCCCTTTGCTTTCAAACAGAACAGGGAGAAAATCATCAGGTAGTGTGATTTCTGCAATGTCAGCATCCCATCATTTTGCTCAGAACCAAGCATTGTGAAGCCATGGCTAAGACTAGAACTTCTGTTTCTGAAGACTTAAAATACTTAGGATAGGAGGGGGCAGCATCTTCCAGATGTTGCTGGACTGCAGTTGCCATGATCCCTCACAGTTACCTCTGCTGCCTACAGCTGATGGGAGTTACAATTCAATATGATCTGGAGGGCTACAAGTGCCCCAACTCTTAAGGACTCCTCTCTTGTCTGGTTTGGAAAACTGGGTCAGGCTTCCATTCTAAATATATTCCTGGCAAAACCCACCATGGCTTATTAGCTTTGATGCTCTATACTGAACTTCTACAGATGTCAAAATAAGGGTTTCAAATGCTTTCAGATAAGACCCACTGATTCTTTAGAACTGAAAAGGACCAAATCCTAAATTACATCTTGGGGTAAGAGGAAAAAGCAATATATATCTTCCAGCAACAGACCAATTTGAAGCATTGCACATAGAAATTGAATTGTAATGCATGTTTGGCTGAGGAAAGAAACATGGCAACAGTGGGGGGAAAATTAATGAACAGAATCCTATTGGCAATTGTTAGGCACCCTTCAGTCTCAAAAGACCATGATAACACGTTCTGTATGAGTGTCCTCTCCAGAGCACGAAGCCTGGGTAAAATAATATGGAGGATAGGCTGTTACCCAACCAGCAAATCCCCTCTCCACGTCGCTGAAATAGTCCAGTGGAAAGGCAAGAGCCAATACAACTGGTTCCAGCGATGTCGCAGGAGTTGCCAGAATGACACGAACTGCCTCTGGGATTCTGGCTCTGGATTTTGCCTCAAGGTTGACTCCTGAAGCC